CTGGCTGGCTGGTTGGGGGTTGGCTGACTGGCTGGCTGGTTGGGGGTTGGCTGACTGGCTGGCTGGTTGGGGGTTGGCTGACTGGCTGGCTGGTTGGGGGTTGGCTGACTGGCTGGCTGGTTGGGGGTTGGCTGACTGGCTGGCTGGTTGGGGGTTGGCTGACTGGCTGGCTGGTTGGGGGTTGGCTGACTGGCTGGCTGGTTGGGGGTTGGCTGACTGGCTGGCTGGTTGGGGGTTGGCTGACTGGCTGGCTGGTTGGGGGTTGGCTGACTGGCTGGCTGGTTGGGGGTTGGCTGGACTGGCTGGCTGGTTGGGGGTTGGCTGACTGGCTGGCTGGTTGGGGGTTGGCTGACTGGCTGGCTGGTTGGGGGTTGGCTGGCTGGCTGGCTGGTTGGGGGTTGGCTGGCTGGCTGCTTGGGGGTTGGCTGGCTGGCTGGTTGGGGTTGGCTGGCTGGCTGCTTGGGGTTGGCTGGCTGGCTGGCTGCTTGGGGTTGGCTGGCTGGCTGCTTGGGGTTGGCTGGCTGGCTGGTTGGGGTTGGCTGGCTGGCTGGTTGGGGTTGGCTGGCTGGCTGGTTGGGGTTGGCTGGCTGGCTGGTTGGGGGTTGGATGGCTGGCTGGTTGGGGGTTGGATGGCTGGCTGGTTGGGGGTTGGATGGCTGGCTGGGGGTTGGATGGCTGGCTGGTTGGGGGTTGGATGGCTGGCTAGTTGGCTGGCTGGTTGGGGGTTGGATGGCTGGCTGGTTGGGGTTGGCTGGCTGGCTGGCTGGCTGGTTGGGGCTGGCTGGCTGGCTGGCTGGTTGGGGGTTGGATGGCTGGCTGGTTGGGGGTTGGATGGGCTGGCTGGCTGGTGGGGGTTGGATGGCTGGCTGGTTGGGGGTTGGATGGATGGCTGGCTGGCTGGCTGGTTGGGGGTTGGATGGCTGGTTGGGGGGGGGTTGGATGGATGGCTGGCTGGCTGGCTGGTTGGGGGTTGGATGGATGGCTGGCTGGCTGGCTGGCTGGTTGGGGGTTGGATGGATGGCTGGCTGGCTGGATGGTTGGGGGTTGGATGGATGGCTGGCTGGCTGGCTGGTTGGGGGTTGGATGGATGGCTGGCTGGTTGCGGGTTGGATGGATGGCTGGCTGGTTGGGGGCTGGATGGCTGGCTGGCTGGATGGCTGGCTGGCTGGATGGCTGGATGGGGGTTGGATGGGGTTGGAGGTATAGATATAGATGGCTGGCTGGATGGATGGGGGTTGGCTGGCTGGATTGGGGGTTGGATGGATGACTGGGATGGGGGTTGGATGGATGGCTGGAATGGGGGTTGGATGGATGGATGGCTGGATTGGGGGTTGGATGGTTGGCTGGCTGGATTGGGGGTTGGATGGTTGGCTGGCTGGATGGGGGATGGATGGATGGTTGGCTGGCTGGATTGGGGGATGGATGGCTGGTTGGATTGGGGGATGGATGGCTGGATGGATGGATGGCTAGTTGGATTGGGGGTTGGATGGCTGGATGGCTGGCTGGAGTTGGGGGATGGATGGTTGGATGGATGGATGGCTGGATGGATGGGGGGTTGGCTGGCTGGCTGGCTGGATGGGGGGGATGGATGGATGGTGGGGATTGGGGATGGATGGCTGGATGGATGGATGGATGGATGGATTGGGGGATGGATGGATGGATGGCTGGCTGGATGGGGTTGGCTGGATGGATGGCTGGATGGATGGATGGCTAGTTGGATAGATGGGGGTTGGATGGATGGCTGGATGGATGGGGGTTGGCTGGCTGGCTGCCTGGATGGATGGGGGTTGGCTGGATGGATGGATGGGGCTGGCTGGACTGGGATGGATGGATGGGGTTGGCTGGCTGGATGGATGGGGCTGGCTGGATGGATGGATGGGGGTTGGATGGATGGATGGATGGGGTTGGCTGGCTGGATGGGGGTTGGCTGGCTGGATGGATGGCTGGATGGATGGGGGTTGGCTGGCTGGATGGATGGATGGATGGATGGATGGGGGGGTTGGCTGGATGGATGGATGGATGGATGGGGGTTGGCTGGATGGATGGATGGGGGTTGGCTGGATGGATGGATGGGGGGCTGGCTGGATGGATGGATGGGGGTTGGCTGGCTGGCTGGATGGCTGGCTGACTGGCTGGATGGATGGATGGGGGTTGGCTGGCTGGATGGATGGGGGTTGGCTGGCTGGATGGATGGGGGTTGGCTGGCTGGCTGGATGGATGGGGGTTGGCTGGCTGGATGGATGGGGGTTGGCTGGCTGGATGGATGGGGGTTGGCTGGATGGATGGATGGGGGTTGGCTGGCTGGATGGATGGGGGTTGGCTGGCTGGCTGGATGGATGGGGGCTGGCTGGCTGGATGGATGGGGGTTGGCTGGCTGGATGGATGGGGGTTGGCTGGATGGATGGATGGGGGTTGGCTGGATGGATGGATGGGGGTTGGCTGGATGGGGGATGGATGGGGGTTGGATGGATGGATGGATGGGGGTTGGCTGGATGGATGGATGGGGGCATGGATGGATGGATGGATGGGGGTTGGCTGGATGGATGGATGGGGGTTGGCTGGATGGATGGATGGGGGCGGGCTGGATGGATGGATGGGGGCTGGCTGGCTGGATGGATGGATGGATGGATGGGGGGGCTGGCTGGGGCTGGATGGATGGATGGCTGGCTGGATGGATGGCTGGCTGGCTAGATGGGTGGGGGATGGATGGATGGCTGGCTGACTCGATGGGGGGGGGGGTTGGATGGATGGATGGATGGATGGATGGCTGGCTGGCTGACTAGATGGGGGGGGTTGGATGGATGGATGGCTGGCTGGATGGGGTTGTTTGCCTGGATGGATGGGGGCTGGCTGGATGGATGGAGGATGGATGGCTGGCTGGCTGGATGGATGGATGGATGGCTGGCTGGCTGGCTGGCTGGGGTATGGATGGATGGATGGCTGGCTGGGGTATGGATGGATGGATGGCTGGCTGGCTGGTTGGATGGGGATGTTTGCCTGGATGGATGGATGGCGGGATGGATGGTGGTTGGATGGATGGATGGGGGTTGGATTGATAGCTGGATGATTTTAATTTACAATTAAAATACAATGTACATGAGAAGTATTTTATTCACCCTGTTAAGTTTTGTATGTAGTAAGACTAGAATTAGCCCAAGTACTTTCTCTGCAGGATGCAACTGGCAAAATCCATTCTTCCATTGCAGATGGTCTCCTGGAACCACTATTGCCTTCAGTCACACCTATTGGATTCTTCAGTTTTGAGTACAGTACTAGCCCTCTATTAGGGTATTGTTCAATGCATTCTGATTGTCCAAAAATCTAATACAGTATACAGATCTTGTCTGATCACTTGGTTATGAATCAGTTTGATATAGTATTTACCATCCCTGAATAGGCTAAAAAAAAATAGCCTTAAGGTGTTTAGCCTCTTAAGGTCTTTCCATAACTTGCATATGCAAATATGGGACACTAGCCGATGGTTTCGTGCCTCATGTTTCTTTATTAGCACTGTCACGACCCTTTATTGGTAGGGTCTCTCAAATACTTGGATCTTCAACTGCGACTGATACCATTTACTGTCACAGCCTTTTATAAACTACCTATAATAACTAATGCATGGCCTGGCCTTTCATTCAATCCGAAGTTGGCCATGTTCCTAGGCCATGACTTGGTCTTGATATTCTTTTACTATACTGTCTAGGGATGAGGTTTCTAGTTGTGCCAAGGAAAATTCAAGGAGTAGGGAAGCATCCAAGAAGAGATGAGGCAAGTTATATTTAAGACACACACACATATATTACACTGCAAAATTCGCTCCTAATAACTTGTGGTCGTTCTGAATGTTAACACCATTATATCCACCCAGGGCTCTTGTCACCCTGTAACTCTAGTTAACACTGGAACTGTGTGCACAACTACCACACCTTTTAGCATAAGTTACACATGCATAACTAGGAAAACTGGAATCTAAGTAACCTACTCGGTAGACTGTTGATATACAGTACTCTGTCACGTCTTGCACCCTGTATAATACAACCCAGTGGCTTATCTTGTGATCTGGCAGGAGAAATTCCTTGGTAAAGCAAGGATCGGTCGGCGCTGCTGCTGCTCACATCTGTCAAAGATGGCATCTGGTTATCTTGTTGCTTGCCTCTTCATAATTTATACTTCAACATTCCTTCAACAAACCCTTTATTGACTCCATTAACCATACTCCCTTCACAGGTTGTGACAGTCCACTTTTCCCTCACACAGTTTTGCTATACCAATACATATTACTCCTAAACGGTCTTCAGCTCAAAGGTACTACTTTGAAATGACATTCCTTTACTCCACCCAGCAATCTTAGTCACTCGCGACCTCCCAGCTGCCGATATCTTTAAAGGAAAAATTCTAATTCCCCCACACAACTCCCCTGTATTAACAGATAATTTGTTATAAATACTGTCCCTTTATACATCTCCACAGGAGATCAGGTTTGTAACACTACATACTTGAAATGAAATTATAGCTGTAGTGATTCTCCTGTTTCCACTGACTTACACTTAGTATCAAATAAAGTAGCACAAGGCTTCCACTTTGTATCAATAGATAAATCCTGTAGTCCCATCATCTTGATCATGTTCAGCTTTAGCAGGTATGAGTTATCAGTTCTCCAGTGCTGCTCAGTTTGATTCTTTACCACCTCAGCATGAACATCTTGCTCTATTGTGAAGACTACCTAAAATATGATCTAAGAGTTCCAAAATTTGTTGCTCAGCGAGTTGTTATCCTCTTTAGCTTTGCAACTGCTCATAATTAAGAAAGTTATGAGGAAAGATGTGTGGGTTTAACCTAGTGTCACTGGAAGAGATAAGACCATGCTTGAAAATAGTTCTTCAGCAGACAAACGAGGACAGACTTTACAAAATATTACTTTGATTCCTATAGGCGACCATTGTGAAGCTTAGCGTACAAATTTCCATTTTCAAATTCTGATTAGTCACATTTCTTTTCAGTTCCTGGCAGAACTGGGTGTACCTGCTTCCTGGACTATCCATGATGTATATGGGCTGGAGGATGAATTGCTCAGTATGGTGCCACAGCCTGTTGGTGCAGTTATTCTGCTGTACCCTTTTAATGAAAAGGTATGCTTTTAATTATTAGTAAAAGTCACTGACAATGTGAAATGACGTTCCTTGAATGTATTAAGGGCACAAATGATGACCTTTAACTTTACAAGGATGAATACTAGCATAATTATTAAACAAAATTTCTTTTAGGTTTATATTACTTTTAACAGCATAAATTATTTTTAAATCTTTTATGGTGCCATTTGAGTGCTAAAAAATGATTTTGTTAGGGTTCATTACTGAGATTTGCAAAGTTACTTTCATGCTATATTTTGCATAGTCTGCTAGACACTGCAATTGTTTAGTTTGAATATTTATGGCTTAATAAAATTTTATGCTCCTTGTTCTATGTAGTTATCCCATTTACCTAATGTGTTTTCTTGAAGTGACAATTTAAATTATTCCTCATGAATTTTGACACTTCCTGGCACAGTTACGTAAGTGATTGTTATGAATTTGTTTACTTGTTATGGGGGGGGGGTTATGGAGTATTACTGAGAAGGGCCAATAGCTAGAATCAAGATGTATCAAAAATAGTGGAATAGATAGGCCCGGCCCCCAAGGAACATAGGTTCCTGTTAATGCTTCAAGGTTTTAGAAACAGATTTGCTGTCTAGTATACAATCATCTACACCACTGCAACAGGATTAATGGATACACCTCAAAAACTAACTTATTTATTAAACACTAACAACCCCCCATATACATTACTATAATAACTTTACCACACTATCTTACATTAACTACCTTGGTCCACTTAGACGGGATACAAGGCTTACACTTGGACAACACTAGGGTAAAGTCTACTTGACGAGAGGCGCACAAAAGGCTTGAAGCAGCCCGAGGTAGCTAAGCCCCACGTGGTACCCTAGTCACAACACAAACTTAGGGATGTGCAAAACACTGGCTTATACTATGCAATACTTATAAAACACACACACACACCTAGCTAGTAACACGATACCTGAATACTTATTAACTTATCTGAGAAATAACCCCAACATGGGGTAAGGGAAGAGTAGGAAGAGAAGACAGAGCCACACTGGCAGAGACCGGCCGGGCGCCGAGCGGACAGCACGCTGGACTTATGATCCTGTGGTCCCGGGTTCAATCCCGGGTGCCGGCGAGAAACAATGGGCAGAGTTTCTTTCACCCTATGTCCCTGTTACCTAGCAGTAAAATAGGTACCTGGGTCTTAGTCAGCTGTCACGGGCTGCTTCCTCGGGGTGGAGGCCTGGTCACGGACCGGGCCGCAGGGACACTAAAGCCACGAAATCATCTCAAGATAACCTCAAGATAACCACACAGGAGAGGTGTTGACACAAGCACAGTAGTCCAGAGAAGAAAGAAGCAGCCTCTCCGCTCCCTCCTCCTGATCGCTGCCGGCTGGATACTCGGCTAATCGTACAGCAGCCATCATTCCAAGTTTACTCAGACATACTGTACTTTACTATTTACTTAAATCGTTTCTAAACATAGCTGATAACTAGTTCAATATTTATTAATCAACAAGCCCAGAGTCTTAATGCTCTGTAAGAAACAAGATTTGTCTTATGTCTGGCAAGGAAGATAGGACTGCTGATGCATTTTTGTTCCTATCAATTAATGTAAAGTAATTATTTAGAGCTCAATTTGACCTCTGGTTTCCAACTAAGGAACCCAGGGTCATAAGTGATCATTGCATATCCCCCCTCCCCCACTGTTTGGCATAATTTACATACAATCTCAACTTAAAGCATGTCATTGATCTTTTACTATTACAGTACAGTATGTATTTTTAAGATGGGCAACTTTGAACTGCTTCATGCTTAATTTAGGTCTCAATTTTTTCCCCTACTATTTAACTAATTCTATAATCGGTCACAGTACCGTAGAGCCCTGTTGTGGCTCCATTCAGATAGAGGGGCACATGCTTTCTGGATGCCATTTACACAGCATCATGTAGTCCAGAAAAGTGGTTCATCCTGTTTTTTTTTTTTTATATACGATTTTTATGGCAAAAATCCAACAGTACTGTATTTTTTACTCACCCATATGAGAAGTTCCGATCTGCTTGTTAACTTACTATTGCTGCTGGAGCATTATTTAGATGGAAGAGGTGGTGGATATTGGCATTGGGTTGATTAAAATGGAGAATAATGGTGATGGGGTAACCTCAGATGTTAAGTGGTTGGATCAACACATGATCAGTCGGGTGTATTAGGTTCAATGCAAGCTCTTGGAAACCTTTGCAAAAGACTGGCCCTTGAATGTTGTTTGCAAGAGCTTCACATACAGATTGTACTGGCTCATGCCCTTGGTGTCAAATTCAGTTATTAGTTTCCATAAATGTAAGAATGCCTTCAAAATATTGACATTTTTCCTGCGTCACAAGCAGAAGCATCTTCTACAGTAACACATCTGCTTGTACCGCTGCCACTGCTTTATCAACACTCCACTTCTGCATTTCTTATTACCTTTCTGTTATGTATTGCTTTATCACTTTGACTTCTAGAAAGTCAGATATTAGATTTAGGCTCAATATCTGAAAGCATAGTTTTCCTAATGCCATATTCAGTGTGCACAACACTACTAGGGATTCCACTCTCCTCTGTTTCAACTTCTCAATATCATCACTGACAAAGTACAAAAAAAGCTGCCCCTTGGCAGCGAGGCCTAGTGGACACTCGTCTGATGACTCTTGTATATTTTTAATTGAACCACCCACCTCGCGCCTTTTTATTAGAGCATTTTTTTCTGGACTGCTTGCCTCGCCAGTTTCACTTTTTTGGCCATGCCTAAAACAAGAAGAGTGTATATCCAGATAAGTGGCATCAAGAAAGCATGTGGCCTTGTGTTGTCTTGATGTAATTTGTAGATGGAATGTGACTTGAATTCACATTCTTAATTGGTTTGGTTCAAAGTGTGAGTGGACATAAAGTAATCGGATATTGGTTGAATCCTTCCAGCCACAAGTGTACAAAAAATATTTAATATGTTACCTGCTTGATGAGGAGTAGAACTCTCAGAACCAGGGGCCAGGCTCGACTTGAGAGCTTTGGCCAACAGGCTGTTGCTTGTTGTTGCCCACATATCCACCACAGCCCAGTTGGTCTGGCACTTCTTGAAGAAAATTATCTAATTTTCTCTTAAAGATGTCCACGGTAGTTCCGCCAATATTTCTTGAACTCGCTGGGAGGATGTTGAACAATCGCGGATCTCTGATGTTTATACAGTGTTCACACAGAGATCACACTAACGTGATGCATCAAATGAACAAATCCACAAGGGCCTTACATCATCAAGGGTGTGATGATGTAAGGGCGAAGAGGGAGAACGGCCTATTAACATAGCTCGGGTGCAGGGGGGGGGGGGGGGGGGGTTGTATAAAAGCCTGGTTTGTGCCTCGGAGAGGCTACGGGATCCAGTAAGTTCAGTAGAACTTCGGTTTCAACCCTTTTAACCCTGTCGTAGCTCAGTCGATTAAGGCAGTGTCTGGGATGCTCCCGGACGCAGGTTCGACTCCTCGTCACGGCCCTTGTGGATTTGTTTATAAAGTGTTCTCTGATTGTGCCTATGCTCCCCTCCCCCTGTGCTCTTCGCTGGCTCTATTCTGCATTTTCTTCCATATTTGTTCACTGTTATTTTACTGTAGATTTGTGACCTGGCCCTCCAGTATTTTCCACGTATACATTATTTGATCTCTAATCTCCTTTCTAGAGTACATTTGGAGAGCTTAAGAGACGATCACAGTAATTTAGGTACTTTATTGTGTCTACGTATGCTGCATATATTCTGTACTCCCTCTATTTCAGCAATCTCCTGCTTTGAAGGGAACAGTGAGGACTGAGCAGTACTCCAGACAGGACTGTAAAAGTTATTTAAATATTACAACCATTGTGATGGGATCCCTGGATTTGAACGTTCTCGCAATCCATCCTATTACTTTTCTCGCTGACGCAATTTTTGCTTGGTTATGCTCCCTAAACGTTAGGTCATCAGACATCATTATTCCCAAATACTTTACATGCTGCTTTCCTACTATGGGCAGATTTGACTGTCTTGTACCCTGTATCATGTTTGTCCTCATTTTTACTATACCAGAGTACCTGGAATTTATCATTGTTAAACATTATTTTCTGTTGCCCAGTCAAAATCTTTATTAATGTTTGTAATTTTTCAATGTCTTCAGCAGAGGTAATTTTCATGCAGGTATATCATCTGCAAAGGATGATACAAAGCTGTGAGTTATCTTTTTGTCTATCTGATGTGAGAATGAGGAAAAAGTAGTGAAAGGACTGTACCCTGAGGTACAAAACATTTAACTGCACTTGGATTTGATTTTTATATGGTTGACTGTTACTCAGTTTTCTGAGTACAGTGTCCACCATCCTACTTTACCAGTTATTCCCATTGACCCCATCTTGTGTGCTATCACTCCATGGTTACATTTTTTTAATGCCTTTGCGAGGTCTGTGTATACCACACCTGCATTGTTTTTCTTTTAATGCCTTGGTGATTTTGTTGTAGTGGTAGAGTAGCTGAGAGTTTTCCTGCTCTAAATCAATGTTGGCTTAGGTTGTGGAGATCATTTTCTATGAAACTGGTGACCTGACTCCCGATTACTCTTAATACTTTTGTGATATGTTGGTGCAACTGGTCTATAATTCTTTGCCAATGCTTTGCTACCTCCCCTGTGTTTAGAGGGGCTGTCTGCTGATTAAGCCCTTCTGGTCTGGGGGCCCCCCCCCCCCCCCCCCCCGTGTCCAAGCTGCTGCTCCACACTATACTGAGTGCCTGTGCTACTGGCACCTTAAATTTCTTTATAAATATTGAATTTCCATGAATCTGTATAAAGCTGAGCTGTACAGATTCATGTACAGACCCATGCACTCAGCTGGAGATGAGTGCATGGGCATGTTAATAATTGCAGTATACACTCTATTTATGGACCTCCTAGTTACCGTTCTAATGACCAATTTTGAGATAGTCTTAACTGGTGCCTTATTTAGTCATGGGCTGTTAAATCCGGAATATGGCATTGAGTGTAGAGTTCAGTACATGTTAAACTGCAGCCCGCTATTGTTTGACAAACTTGCCCTCACTAGACCAGTGGTTACATTTTTCTTTTAACAAATTTCACTGCTTCTGTTGTGCAGCATGGCAATGGCTAGTCGGTCACAACCAGTCGGCAGCAGCAATGGTAAAGTCGGGCAGGCATTCACAAGTCAGTCATAACCAGTCAAAAGCAGTTAGGCATTTAGTTGTGGTAGCAACCAGTCAGTTTATAAGCAGCACGAGTCTGATGTTTACAGAACACCAATGTTGTGTACTCTCAAACCCAATGTACCTTCTTGTATACCAGTCAGTCAGGGCAGTCTGCCACCATCTGGTAGATAGGTAACCGAGAATCTGAACCATATTAATACCATGCCAACCGTCCTCGCCTGCCTGGCGGGGTGGGGGATATTTCTGGGAAGGAATGGAGGGGTAGAATGCAGCAGGGATGAAGCTGAGGGGAGGTTAGCTTGATTTTGGGGCTTAATGTCCCTGCTGCCCAGTCCTCAACAAGGCCTTCTTTTTGTTACACATCCCCCCAGTAAGCAGCTTGTAGCAGCTGTCTAATTCCCAGGTACCTATTTACTGCTAGGTGAACAATGGGCATCGGGTGAAAGAAAACTCGCCCATTTTGTGTCCGCCTCCACCGGGGATTGAACCCGGAACCTTGGGACTATGAATCTGAAGCGCTGTCCACTTGGCTGTCAGGCCCCAGGGGATGTGGCATGACCACAGCCAGTCTGTGATAGTTTGCCTGCCAGTCAAACCCAGCCCACCCACCAAAACCCAGCCTGCCTGCCAATCAGCCACCAATCCATCCATTCATCCACATTAAACTCGCCAACCCACCCACCCATCCACCCCTCCCTACCGATGCACCCACCCACCGACCTGCCCAGCCAGCCCATCAGCCACCAATAGATCGATCCACCCACCCCGTTCTGCCTACCCATGCACCTACCCACCTTGCCTGCCTTCCACCCACCGACCTGCCCATCAGCCAGCAACTGATCGATCGATCCACCCACCCTGTTCTGCCCACCCACCCTGTTCTGCCCACCCAGCCACCTACCCACCCTGCCTGCCCATCAGCCACCTACCCACCCTGCCTGCCCATCAGCCACCTATCCACCCTGCCTGCCCATCAGCCACCTACCTACCCATCAGCCACCTACCTACCCACCCTGCCTGCCTGCCTGCCATCCCCGTGCCTGACCACTCTGCCCATCCAGTCACCCACCCTCTCTCTCTCTCTCCATCTCAATCTCTGCAGTGTAGATGGCAGGTGTGGTAAAATATGATGGCTAGTGCTAGAAGTTACCACTAACACAGTATGCAAGGCAGGGACATGAGGGTTTTCTGTAAAGCAGTGTGGATGCTCTCCACTTGTAGGTAGCACTAACTGATTAACATGCTCCCATATACAAGTAGCTTTTAACATTTGGTAAGTTACTGTTTGAATTCAATTTGACAATATGTTTCTTCTCAATACTAAGAAAATTGAAAGATAACATTCTTAATTTTTATTTATTATAACTATTTTTTAACTATTGTGTGAAGTTTACATACCTCGCCAAGGAAAGTAGACACTAAAGAAAACCACTGCTAATTTTTCTAACACTTTACCTAAATGTTTTTCTTATTTTTCTTTGGCCAGATCTCTTTACAAAAATAGGAAATTAATAATTTATATTGTACATTTTTTATATTTTAGATTGTTCTATAACTTTGTCCTCAGGGAAAAGAGTTCATGACGAAAAATGACGAGGAGTTGGAGGCTGAAGGTCAAGAAGTCCCTGAAAAAGTTTACTTTATGAAGCAGTTTGTTGGCAATGCCTGTGGCACTGTGGCTCTCATCCATGCCATTGCCAATAATGTGGACAAGTATGCATCAGTTTTTATTAATAGAATAGTTTATAATTTTGAAAAGTGCCTTTTTGTGTTAAGTCTGGTAGCTCCTCAGTATTGAAGGCTCCTGCCACTAACCATTTTGCTGTACCAAACAATAGAGGTAGATTTACTATTACTGCTCTAGAATGTAATAAACTAGCACATTACTAGGAAAAACTTTGCAATTGTTTTATGGTAACACTTTTGGGTCTAATAGTGCTGCAGCCAAAGAGGTTAAAGGTTAAGAGCATGTTCTAGTACCTAAGTTATTGTCATGATTAAATGACGTTTATAGAAGTACTGTCAAACATCCACTTGGGTGTTTGAGAGTTACTCACTGTCAATAAGACGACTTCAAGGTCTTCTGTACACTACTGTTTGCTCTACCACTTGAAGGATGTCTGATAAATTAAATGCTACTGGTGGAATTAGGAAATGGCTCTCCATTAAACTTATGGAGTGGCAGTTTCAAAATATGGTGACATTGGTACACCAGTCATTCTTTAGTGTAAATGTTTGAACAAACTGGAACCATTCTTTTGGACCAAGACTTGCAGGTTGCAACTGATTTAGATACTGTGTATGAAATGTAACGATGCATATTCTATAAGTACATGACTTGTTAACTGAAGGTCAGTTTGGATGAGGTGGTTTCAAAAATGCCTTTAAATTGTAGTACCAATCTCCTTTTAATAGTTGTATGCAAATGATTTCAGTCTGCAAAATGGATTTTTCCATGAAAGGTGGACTTGGTTCAATCAGGTCAAATTTTACTGCTGCTATTGAAAGTTTAGTGGCTGCCCCCCTCCCCCCCAAAGTGTGAAATGTAATGAAATGAGTTTTTGGGTGAGATATGGAGACTCCCTGATGCTATCTATAGTGCTATATTAGTTGGGTCATCAGTTGCAGAGTTCTTGTTGCCTACTGGAAACAGCCAGAACCTGGCCCCCCTTTTCCCTCAGACTTGCAGAGAGCAATGGCCTATGAACACTACATTTATCTGAAAAGATAAATGTAGGGTCACGAGTTGGGGGACCAGGCGTTGGCAAGTGCCACCCCCCCCGGAAGCCCTGACAAGGGGGCAACCCGTGAAAGGGCAGACGCGAACCCAGACATGCAGACCTTCGTACAGAGCAAACACTGTGTTGACCAGATGAAGAAGGCATCGAGGAGATCAGACTCAAACTGGCACCAGAGGCCTACCCAGAGCAAACAAGGCTTAAACCCTGGCACAACCATTGCGAAATAAGCTGACAGTGAGCAGAGGCCGCCGACAGAGCCACACAGTCCTCTGGGAACAACAAAGGCCAAAACGGCGAAGAAAATGGAAGACAGGATCAGAGCCGAAGCAAATAACTAGCACAGCCTGTCCACATGTGAGAAGGGAGGTGGGAAAAACCTAAAAACTGCCTCCTGGAGGGTCTGCACAAAATGCTGCAGCAAGGCAGATGATGCTGAAGCAGCAGTCCAGGACCCTTGCTGAGGGCCTCCCCACCCTGCACTCCCACATCCTCTGAAAACCAATCCAGAGGTAGCTCCTGAAAACGAAAGAATTAAGACAGGGAAAAAAAAGTCTGAAGTCATCCGCCGCCAAAGCAGCAAAACAGTGAGCAAGCAGCTGCACCAGACCAACATCACAATGAGGCACAGAACACGTACAAAGGGAAGAATGGTATGAAAACCCCCTCCCTTGCAGAAGCCCAAGTGCAGAGGGCCCAAGTGGGGTCAAAAGGAACCAAAAAAGGAAGTCTGCTGGGTCAACTCGGAAGCCTCGAATGGAAAGAGGGGCTCGACCATCTCCACACATGCATCAAAAGGGGCAGCCCCTGAAACTACCTGAGCCTCGCCCCAAGCTAAACCCCACCGTAACTCCGAAACCCTCAGACGTTAGGGAGCTGGAAGCAGGGGGGAAGGGAGCATACGGCAAAAATGAGGAACTGAAACATAATACAGGGTACAAAACACAATCGAATCTGCCCATAGTAGGAAAACAGCATGTCAAGGATTTGGGAATAATGATGTCCGACGACCTAATATTTAGGGAGTTTAACCAAGCAAGTATTGCGTCAGCCAGAAAAATGATAGGATGGATTACGAGAACCTTCTTGAATACTGCTTAGTACTCGCTCCCCCCTTCAGAGCAGGAGAGATTGCTGAAATAGAGGGAATACAGAGAACATTTATGGCACGCATAGACGAGATAAAGCACCTAAATTATTGGGATCGTCTCAAAGCTCCAAATGTACTCGCTAGAAAGGAGAAGAGAGATATACCAAATATACACATGGAAAATACTGGAGGGACAGGTCCCAAATCTGTACAGTAAAATAACAACATACTGAAGTGAACGACATGGAAGAAAATGCAGAATAGAACCAGTGAAGAGCAGAGGTGCCATAGGCACAATTGGAGAACACTGTATAAACATCAGAGATGCACGGTTGTTCAACGTCCTACCAGCGAGCATCAGAAATATTGCTGGAACAACTTGTGGACATCTTGAAAAAAAATCTAGTTTTCTCTTGGAGTGCCGGACCAACTGGGCTGTGATGGGTATGTGGGCCTGCGGGCTGCTCCAAGCAACAGCCTGGTGGACCAAACTCTCACACTCTCTCCTAAGCTTGGCCTCTGGCTGGGCTTGGGGGAGTAGAACAACTCCCAAACCCCATCAAGCAGGTATCAGAGCAAACCATGCTCATCTGGGAAGGAAGAAGCGTGAACTGAATCAAGGCTGAAACTACCAACGCCTCCAAAACACAAGTGGGGCCGCTCCAGGGCCTTCAACCGGGAAAACAACCTGATCATGCAACGCAGCTGCTGCCTAATCCTGAGATCACATGAGGGGATGAATAAAATGGAGCACAAGTGGGGGAACAATCCTTTAAGACTCCGGTTTGTAGGTTTCCCCGCCCCAACCAGCAGCATGAGAGGCAGTACGAATGATTCTCCTTAAAACAAGAGCGAGACACAACCTTCAATTTCACACAAGGCGAGAGTGGGCTGGGAAGAAGTATCCATACCTTGGAGTGCTTCCAGGGCTTGGCGTCCCCGCAACCTTGCCATCGACCAGGCCTCCTCGTTGCTGGACTGGTCAACCAGGCTGTTTGACGTGGCTGCTTGCAGCCTGACGTATGAATCGGCCTGGTTGATCAAGGTATCCTTTGGAGGTGCTTATCCAGTTCTTTTTGAACACTAAGGGGTGTTCTGCACATTATGCCATGCCTCCTGGTCTCGTGTGATGTTATTTGTGTGTGCAGGTATGGGACCAGTCCATTGCATGACCGATCCCATAGGGGGTTTTCCAAGGTCTGTAGCGTGCACGAGCCCTATGGAAAGCCCAGGCACTGGGGCCAGCTAAACCGGTAAACCCTGTCTCGCAGTCATGAAAACACTGAGGGCAAAAGAGGACCACCACCACAACCTAGGTTAAGTCTAATAAGAAGCTTAGCAGACCTTTGCAACATCGGGCAAAAAATGCCGGAATGAAAACGGAAGACCCCCCCCCCCACCCCGAAATCTTGCAAGAAAACTAGTAGCCAAAGAAATGTCGGCAGTCGTGTAATAGCAATGCAGGCTGCATTAGCTGCAGTGTGCCCCACCAGCAAACAAACTCCCCCAACCTGGGGAGAGACAGCCAAAAAACCCCAGCCTACCCCAAGGGCGAGGACAACCACAACCAAGGAAGCCCTGTAAAGGGGAGTGAGTCCCGAATGCCCCAGGGAAGAGAACCCTGACCACGCAAGGGCAGTACTCAGGGAGCACATAGGGAATGCGACCCTAGATGCATGCGGCCCCATATGCATCTGGCAGCATGCCCAGAACAACTCCAGCCCAGCGCACAGAAAGGTAGGAACAGACGATCTGTTAAAAAATCTGGAATTGTGGCCCACGTTGAAGTCTGACCTCCCGAAGCACATCAGTCTTGAACTGAAATGGTGGGTTCCTGGCTCACCCTCCTCCTACCGGAGGGAGGTGAGGGATGAATAACGGTAATGAGTGGGGGGAGCTAGGTGGATGACGTGTTGCTTTTTCTTTCTGGGAGTTCTTTTGCTATTTTGAGGCTGTAGCTCTCAATTTTTAACCAGATAGTGGTCCATTTTGATTTGCCTACCTTTCTGGATGCCTTCCCTGGTAGAATGGGGAAATATGACTTGCTTTAAATGTAAAGTGCTCGTAGGCCATTGCTCTCTGCACCTCTGAGAGGGCCAGGTTCTGTCTCTGGTTACCAGTAGGCAACAAGAACTGTGATAACAGACAGTTCCATGCACGCACAGATAGTGCACAGACCGAGGCATCTATGGTACCTGCACCATGTTGCACAGTCAAGGTTCGTTTCTGAGAGGACGTCATTCTCACTACGGCTGAGATCTTAGAAAAGGTCTCTACCATCGGAAATGTCTCGCCAGCTGACATCGTGGAGACCAGAGGTGGTGTGGTTCTAGATAGAAAACTATCACCCGAGGACCACATAAAGAATATTGTGCGAGGAGCCTATGCCACACTTTCTAACTTCAGAATTGCTTTTAAATACATGAATGGCGATATACTAAAGAAATTGTTCACGACTTTTGTTAGGCCAAAGCTAGAATATGCAGCGGTTGTGTGGTGCCCATATCTTAAGAAGCACATCAACAAACTGGAAAAGGTGCAAAGACATGCTTCTAAGTGGCTCCCAGAACTGAAGGGCAAGAGCTACGAGGAGAGGTTAAGAGGCATTAAATATGCCAAAACTAGAAAACAGAATAAAAAGGTGATATGGTCACTACATACAAAATAGTAACAGGAATCAATAAAATCGATAGGGAAGATTTCCTGAGACCTGGAACTTTAAGAACAAGAGGTCATAGATTTAAACTAGCTAAACACAGATGCCGAAGAAATATAAGAAAATTCACTTCCGCAAACGGTGGTAGACGGTTGGAACAAGTTAGGTGAGAAGGTGGTGGAGGCTGTGCTGATAGTCAAAATAGAGATCCTAAATGTAGTTGTTGTCC